AACGCGCAACAAAAACGCCGCAAAGAAGCTCATGTACCTTTTCAGGCGTAGGCCGTTTTGTAGCGCGTTCAGACGGGCTGAAATACGGCAAGGTGTGAACCATACCCATAGAAAACAATGGGATTTTAATGTTTGAGCGTTTTGTGTGTTACAAAACGTACCAGTGTGAACCAGGCCTTAGATTGGAGGGGGTAAATTCCCTTTCCCTAATTCACCTGGGAAAATTGAACTGCCCTTTAACACGGGCCAACTAATAAAGTATGAAATACAATTGGCTGATGGTTTACTGTACAGTACTGTTTTGTTATGCAAGACCAAAATGTTTGACCACATTTAGAAACTGCAATAAGTACTTGAACGGGCCAGAATAATGTCTTCAGTTAAATCAGTACCATTAACTTTTATGCATGACCATTGAATAGTATTACATTATACAGGTTTTTCATTCTCTTTCATGCATGGTATATAGGTGATTATAATGATGAAGGTAATTATTATTGTATAATAATCAGCAGAAGAGGAAAACACATACATATATATTTGTATAAATCTGAAGCTATTTGTTTTTGTTTTTTATGATTTGACTTCATAATGGTTGACAATGAAAAACACATTCAAGTCACAAAGATGTCTAATTATATGTTTTCATAATACAACTAGTAACTAAAACAAGTAACAAAGCTGTATACATCACATAATAAAAACAAAGTTCAAATGATTATATAAAGCATGCAAAAACTAAACTGCGTGGTAGAGCATGCTAAAAGATCAAGCAATGGAACATAAATGAATTGCATCAGATTATATTACAGTGGAGAAAACACACTATACATGTGCGTGACCATGTATACGTCATAGCCAGCAATCTTGGAACATGAAAGTTGGGTGGGTCTTGTGAAATGAAATGGTCTATACAAGAGTTGTATTTTAGTTCTGCACTGCCCTAGGCCTCTTCAGTGTTGCCATCCCCTTAACCATATTTTCTTAGGTCTCCTTTGTTTCTAGCACCTTGTGTAAAAAAGTAATCATATAACCTTTAGTGCATAGCCCTTCCTTTATGCTTGCATTCTACAACAGAAGTCAAGATTTGATGCCATGAATTGAGAATATGCCAAACATCCTAAGCCGCAGTCTATGTTAGCTTCCATGTCTGGGCCTGGGTCTAGAAAGTTGCGCCAAACAAGAAGCCATAGCAACCCACATCAATGTCTGAAGTTGGTGCTCTCTGTATTCCAATTTTTCTTGATTTCATTCATCTGATGATGGGTAGTAATGTTCAGATTCTGACTTTTAATACTCAGGACAAGCATTATCAGAATAGCCCTGGGGGAGGTCTGACATCGTTATACTCAGGAAAAGCATTATCTTATGAGGACTGACATCTCTATACCCAGGACAAGCATTATCAGAAGAGGACTGGGGACAGTGACGTCACAAGGGGGGTGACACCATTTTAGGGCCGACACCAAAATGACTGGCAGTCTCACTGGCAGAGAGCCCCACAGTGTCAGTAGAGGGGAGGGGATCTGGCGGCATACCTCATTCCGCCGGGTGAACGTCCCCTTCTCTCTCTGCCGGCATCCATCACCAAAATGGTCGCCGGCAGGCGTCAATTAGATGGTTGCGCATGCGGGATGACTTCACGGCGGGGTGTCACCCGGTCTCTGCTCCGGGTAACACCTGGCCACGGGACGCCCTTGACTAAGGGAGGTCTGACATCTCTATACCAGGACAAGTCTTATGAGAAGAGGACTAGGGGAGATCAGACATGTCTATACCCAGTACAAGCATTATCAGGAGAGGACTGACATATCTGTACTAAGGCCAAGCATTATCAGAACAGGACTGGGGGAGGTCTGACATCTTTATACCCAGTACAAGCATTATCAGGAGAGGACTGACATATCTGTACTAAGGCCAAGCATTATCAGAACAGGACTGGGGGAGGTCTGACATCTTTATACCCAGTACAAGCATTATCAGGAGAGGACTGACATATCTGTACTAAGGCCAAGCATTATCAGAACAGGACTGGGGGAGATCAGACATGTCTATACCCAGTACAAGCATTATCAAGAGAGGACTGACATATCTGTACTAAGGACAAGCATTATCAGAACAGGACTGGGGGAGGTCTGACATCTTTATACCCAGTACAAGCATTATCAAGAGAGGACTGACATATCTGTACTAAGGACAAGCATTATCGGAACAGGACTGGGGGAGGTCTGACATCTTTATACCCAGTACAAGCATTATCAAGAGAGGACTGACATATCTGTACTAAGGACAAGCATTATCGGAACAGGACTGGGGGAGGTCTGACATCTTTATACCCAGTACAAGCATTATCAAGAGAGGACTGACATATCTGTACTAAGGACAAGCATTATCGGAACAGGACTGGGGGAGGTCTCCATTACAGCATCATTACTTTTACCAATATTCCTCTTTAGGTATACCAACTTGAATAGGGATGCTGGATAGAAATATACTGCTGTGGTGCCTGTTGGACTTCTTCTGTCCAAAACAGATCAGTCTGCTATCGTCATCAGCAAAACAATCTTCTAAAACATTATAATACAGGTTATATGTAGGCCATCCACTATCCTAGCAAATAAACTTGTCTATCAGCATGGCGCTATTCTCACAAAATGTACACAAAATTCAAAGATCAAATCATGCATTGTATAAAATGGTAATTTAATTAAAAAATGCGAGTAAGTTTACATGCATCTAACAAATATAAGCAGCAATTGCAGTAATGCATTGATACAGATGACTATTCAAAGGGATACTAGACAGCCATGGCATCTGGATCACACCACTGAATGCCACTCTGTCCTGCAGAAGCATTAGGTCTATGCAGCATTCATAGACCTTTAAATGACCACAATTATACAGTCATGTTAACAGACTTAATCAATAAAGTAATGCAAACAGTGATAATGTATCAAAGTGTAGTAATGCACAGCAACCTATCACATTTCAAAATGCTGAAGCCATATTTGTAAAAACAAAACAAAGAACTGTTGTGATTTGTTGCCATGGGTTATTACACTTTGTATAATGCCTGTCGCCTTACTGAAAAATGTATACTGTATGTACGTCAGAGTAACATGAAGTTTAAATTGTAAAGTAAACATAACAGCATAAAACAATACTGGGCGTATTATGATAACAGCAATCAAGAGCAATATACAATATAACATATCAGTTATTTCTATTTGATATATCTGTATTCTAAAGAACGCAGTTCTTTTTTTTTTATTTTAATATACAATATAACAGATCAGTTATTTCCATTTGATATATCTGTATTCTACAGAACGCAGTTTTTTTTATTTTAATATACAATATAACAGATCAGTTATTTCCATTTGATATATCTGTATTCTACAGAATGCAGGTTTTTAATTTTTTTTTTTATGAATACAGGTTAAGTGAGGCAGTATAAACAATAAGTGTTTCAGTTGCTTAAAATTCATTTTATCAGAAGAATATAAACAAACAGTATTTTTGTGCATCAGTAGATCATTTAGACATCTAGCACTAACATCTTACCATTTACCGATACTATTACAAAAATTAAAGACGGTAATGAGTTTTTCCATTTAAAACAGGATTTGAAACTCTGTGTTACACTTTGTGAAATAATGTGTTGGCATCTGAAGCTTGGGTCTTCTTTCAGATCAAGGAGGAATACTCCTTAAATGGTCTAGCCTATGATTGGTTCTTTCAGGGGAATAGCTATGAAGTAAAGATGAATGTGAATGTTTTCCAGAATTACTTATAGAAGGTATGCTCATTTAATGAGCACTAGGATTAGACTGGTAACTTATCACACCAGCACTATTTTCAATATATAATAATTCTGAAATATATCCCTTTTTTTGAGTGTTCATGGCTGAATCAACATTCACTATTAAAAGCAGAGCAGGCCATGCTCATCCAAATACAAAGATTCAGGTAAAACTAATATTTCAGTTTGTTAACATTAAAATCAAGATGAAAAGAGTGTAAAAAGCCCCCTTCTTCTTTCAATTCTTGGATACTTGGGGAAGTAAAGCAATTCTACCTTTCTGAAACAGCCACTGTGATGGGGCCTTACTAAAACGCTCACATTTTTGCTTATCTTATGATGCAGCAAAAGAAGAGTCCCCTCCTGCATCTACAGGAGTAGAATGACTTGAGAGACTCCAAGGTGGAAAAAGCAGAGATAGAAGGACGTTGTCATTGGAATCCTTGGAATAAAGGAGCAAGGTGATTCAACCCATACATGTCTACCTAATGTTTACATAGCAATTCAGAGTGGACTGATCCTTCACGTAAGGTAGCATTTGTCCCATGTCTGCACCTAGCTGGTGGGTTATGGAAACTGTCTGTTGTGCTTTTCCACAAATGTCCAGATAAACCTCATTTATCTTAAAGTGACACTAAACACAGGAGTTAAATCTTAAAAATGTATACAAGTACCTGAACTATTAACAAAATGTATCTTATTTGTGTTTCACTCGGCTGTAGATCCTCAAATCATGAATTTGTGCTGGTACTGTCCTTCCTTCTGGAGGGTGGCTACTTTTGTTCCCTATGGTCCCTGTGTGTGTTGTAAAGTTGTCACAGCTCCAAGCTCACTCCTGTGATGGACTACAATCTCGATACAAATTAGTAAACTAAACATCAGTTTGTAGTCCGCTATAAAAGCGAGCTTGGAGCGGTGGCTACTTTACAACACACACAGGGACCATAGGGAACAAAAGTAGCCACCCTCCAGAAGGAAGGACAGTACCAGCACAAATTCATGATTTGAGGATCTACAGCCGAGTGAAACACAAATAAGATACATTTTTGGTAATAGTTAAGGTACTTGAATGCATTTTGAAGATTCAACTCTTGAGTTTAGTGTCACTTTAAAAATGACTGCTCTGAACCAGTGTCTAGGAGACGACTAGTGGTCATTGCAGAATCTGGTTGTGAATTGCAAAAGGTCAAAGCAGGAACATACAAAAGTTATCCCATCACATCCTCAACATTGAACACGAGATCCTGAAACCAACGTGCAATTAAAAAGGAGTCTGCAGTACACTCCGAAGCACACAAACAAAATGCATTCTTCATCCATCACACCATCTAGACTCCACTCGTCAACACTTTGACCTGTTTATAAAAATACTGGCTTCTTCATAAGAAACGTTAAACTTCTTTTCTTTACAATACATTTGCTCTGAACAGAGTACAAGTTAAAATCATTTATAAAATATATTTCTCTGGTCAGATTAAGTACTCTTTTGAGAAATCAGTATTTACATTATGTGGTATGCAACTGTTTATCAAGTGTCCCGCCTATGCCTGAGCCTCTGTCTTGCCTCCTTCCACTTCACTGAAGAGCAGCTTCCGGAAGATTCCGGCATAGAATGGTCCATACACTTGTTTGTTAAAATTCACAATGTTGGCATAGTGAAATCCAATAAACTCAATTTCTTTCTGAACTATTGTAAGTCCCCCAGGGACTAGGGGAACACGCTTGTATGGATAAGGAAGACAGAGGAATGTTGTCACATACTCCTGGGTCCGTTTATCTAAAGAAAGAAAAGAAAACCACATTATTTCTGGATCATGTTAGTGACCTAGGACTACACATCCACATGAAGTTGAGTGCATTACAATATGCACGCAATGATAGACAGCAATGACTATCATCTGGGAAGAGCTTAGAGAAAGAGTTGCTGACAGGCATGCCTGTTGTGGTTAACTGACATATATGTTTTACTCTCCTCGTTGCTTAGAGCCGGCGTAGAACACTGCGGCTCTTACATGCCAGTTCTATACCGAAAGCTGAGAAATCATGTAACCACTGATCACTGAGAGCACCCCTCTCTGTTCCTCCAGCGCTTACTGGAGGGGCAAACAGGGGCAGAGCCAGCTGTCAATTAGACAGCCGGGGTGGATCCAGACAATATTGTTGGGATCCTTTCCGGCTGCAGCAAAGCTCTGCACTGTCAGCAGATAGCCGCCATTAACCTGCTATTTGCCGACTTTTTATCACAGGTGTTCATAACTACATGTACTCTTGTGACACAAAGGAAAGGAAAGGGAATCCCCCCCCCCAAAAAAAAAAAAGCTGTGCCTTTATTTATTTTGTGTCCATGAGGTTGTAGATCAAGGGTAGCCAAACTCCGGCCCTCCAGCTGTGGTGGAACTACAAATCCCATGAGGCATTGCAAGATTCTCACAGCCACAGGCATGACTCCCGGAGAGAGATGCCTCATGGAATTTGTAGTTTCACCACAGCTGGAGAGCCGGAGTTTGGCTACCCCTGTTGTAGATAGTCGGCCCTGAGTGATCGTAGAAAATAATGTGTATTAATGTGGAAATTGACCCTAACAATACAGAATAATGAGTTATCAATGTTGCTGTACCTTCATTAAAATTACATAACTGATCTCTCAGGCATTTAGCTTGTCCCACACACCACTGTCTATTCTTTTTATATGCTTCCTAAAATGCTTGACATGTTGTCTTATTCATCCGGCATACATTTTGGTTAAAAAGTCAGTCTACATTACATCAATATGTGTAGCGCACCTCTACAGTGACAACTTCTAATGCTCAGAGCTATGAAGTACCTTATTTTTAAATGCCATAAACAGTGATCATGCAGGAGCACCAGCCCCCAAGCTGCACTCCTCCCTTTGAAATGCTAGAAGCAGGTATGAAATAACAATTGTAGGAATTTAGGCAAATAAGGGCCATGCAAAGATTTCATAATCGGCCTCTCTGGATTAAATGGTTACTACAGCATGGCCATCAACACAGACACCTGTACAGTACTATAATGTAGAACCAAAATAATGTAAACATAATTGCATTTTACCATTAAAAAAACTTACTGATCAAGTTGTAAATGGGATGATCCTTCTCCGTAAGGCTACAAATCTGCCCCATTAGGAAAGACTGAGCCTCATTGCTTAATGGAGATAGATCTCGCTCTGTCAGCGACTTGTCCATCTCAAAGCATATTTTAGTACTCAGTGCATGGAGAGCTTCTTTCAAGTTAAAATGTCTGTTAAAAAGGGAAAAAAACCATAAATAAATATCATGTATTTACTGACATTTGTTTTAGATTTATAAATGCAACTTTGATAATGACCTCCTAGTACTTCTTGATAAGAACCAGATAATGTGTATATATATATATTTATTTATTATCAGGGCTTGAAAAATTTGGCGGTGTCTCACCAGT